GATAGATAGATAGATAGATAGATAGATAGATAGATAGATAGATAGATGATAGACAGACAGATAGACAGATAGATAGATGATAGATAACAGATAGACAGGACAGAAAGACAGACAGACAGATAGATAGATGGATGGATGGATAGGTATGATCAGAAAAGGGACTACTTGGGAAGAAGAGATAGAGCAGTGAGTATGGAGAGAAGATAGGAGAAAGTAAACTGAGGACAATATAAAGCCGGATATTGCCATAAAAACAGACAGGATGGCCAATGGAACCAAATCGAAGACCCGAATATCAATCCACACACCTATGAACACCTGATTTTTGACAAAGAAGCAAAAAATGTCAGATGGAAAAAGAAGGCATATTTAACAAATGATGCTTGAATAACTGGACACCAATATGTAGAAGAATGAAAATAGATCTGTATATATCACCATGCACAAAAATTAAGTCCAAATGGATCAAAGACCTCAACATAAAGCCAACCACACTGAATCTCATAGAAGAGAAAGTGGAAAGTACACTTGAACACATTGGCACAGGAGACAACTTCCTAAATATAACCCCAGTAGCAGACACTAAGAGAAACAATTAATAAATGGGGCCTCCTGAAACTGAGAAGCTTCTGTAAAGCAAAGGGAACTGTAAACGACATAAAATGTCAGCCTACTGAATGAGAAAAGATCATCACCAACTCCACATTAGACAGAGGTCTGATCTCAAAAATAGACAAAGAAAACATATCCATGTTTACATAGTTATAGAAGCAACAATATATTATAGTGCTTAACTATAAAGACTTATTTATATTTATAAATATTCTATAAATATTTAGTATTAGTATAAAACTATATTGTTGAGAAGCTCAAAACTTAGGCTAACAAGAAAAGGCATATACATACATAATGTTCATAATTATAGGGGGTAGAGATTGTCAGTTAGGGAATTAAATCATTAAGTACATATCTTAGCAGAGAATTGCCTGTTCATCCAGTGTTGATGCTCTATTATTTTAATTTTTGTTGTGAGGTGCTCTGTCCTTACTGAACTTTACTGTTTCATGAATTAGTCATTGTGTTTTCCCCATCTCCTTTTCAGTGGGCTCTCATTGCTTATTCTCAAACAACAAGGCATCACTTCCCTACAGTTCCAGTCTCTGAAGGAAATCAGCGCGGGCAACATCTACATTACTGACAACAGCAATCTGTGTTATTATCACACTATTAACTGGACAACACTCTTCAGCACTATTAACCAGAGAATAGTGATCCGAGACAACAGACGAGCAGAAAACTGTAGTAAGTACATCACCACCCATACCTTCAGCAGGGACTTCTGCTCTGCTTTATATTGAGCTAAATCATTGTAAATCACATCAGAACTATCCCTTAACCTAAAAATGGAGAGATAACGGTGTTTATAGCATATTGTCTGTTTTTACAACCTGGCCAATATCTGAAAACCTCATCTGCAGATTTAGATTCCATAGATCTAATAAAACCTTATTGCAAAGCTTAATGATCATGCCAGGCAATTCCATGCATCCCACTATGACGTTTGGGGATGGCTGGATAACCTGAGATGTATTCTGAGATGTGGGGAAATGCTGTCTAGAAGTTTTCTATATTAGAAGAAAATTGGTTTTATAAATGCTCTTATATATAAATATGATTTTCTGATTTTCAGTATAGTTTGATACTTTTGCTCCATGCTTTTCCTTCATTGTTATACATAGGAAACAGTTTACATAGGCAGAATTCTACGTTTCCGATCTTAAACAAATATGCCCTGGAGATTAATAAATACACTAAACAAATATAATTCATATGTATATATACTGTATTTATTAAAAATACTAAATTTGTTTGTTTATGAGAATAAATGATGAGTAGAGGATGCTGTAAAATAACAATCTTAGGAGGCAAACCGAATTTACATCTATTGAATTAAGTAGTTGGTAAATTAAGTTGGTAACTCCATCTTGTTACAGGGATTGTCTAAAACACCTTAGGATAGCAAATTTAATAAAAGGAAACTTGTGAGAAATTTGGTTGCTTTTGTTGATTAAAACATTTTATAGAAAAGGAGAGATCTATAACAAGCACAAAATCTGGAGTTAGGAGATCTTTCATGCTTACACATTCTCTGTGCCACCTAAAATCAGGAAATAGATCTTCTACTTATGTATCAACCCATGCATAGTTATATTAAATTAATCTTCACTTTTCTGCACCATGGATCATTTACTTTGCTCATCCACTGCTGATTCTTGAGAGGTAACTGTTTTTGTTTTCTGTCTGATGAGAAACTTCTTTTTTTACAGTTTTGTGTGTGTGCTTCCATGCCACACAGAAGACGTATGACATTCAAATAGAATCTTTGATACAAATTTATAAATACTTATCTAATTTATTATTTTATTTTGTATCTTCTGTTTTATTCAAAATAATATCACTTCACCATCTTTCATCTATGATTTCTTGGTGGTTATGTATAGGAAAACATGAAAGCACCAGAGACACTCTGATCTCTTTGACATAGTGAATCTGAAATACTGAAAACACTCATGTTTTATATATCATTTTATACCTGGACATATAAAAGCAAATGGGAAGGAGAATAGAAGGAAGTTAAATATAGAATGAGCAGAGTTTTGAGTTTTTTGTATTCTTCTGAGAGTTATGAACTTTTGCAGCATGCAAAAAGAAACGTATCACAAATTACGGTAATAAGAATAATACACTGAACATCGCGTTTTTAAGCTTTCAATACTGTGAAAATTTCAGTATTAGAGTAAGTTCAGCTATTTTTAAACTGTATGTATGTTTCTTTTGGTACACTTAGATTTGAATGTTTAGTTTTGGAAAGAAATGAGGCAGTTAGAAGAAACCATTTTGTTCCATTATAGTACAAATTAGCAGCATCAGATTTAATCTCTAACAGCATCAAATAAGTGCTTTATTACATGAAGTCTATTTATTAAAATTTGGACTATGATCTCAACCAATTGAATCTGCAGAAATATCCCAAGCATGCATTTTCCTGAAATCGAGTAGCTCTGTAAACATGGCCTCAGGATTGATACTGCTGATGGTCGCAGTGAGTTGTACTATGGAAGTGGTATGATTAAAACCCTCCCCATCATGCACAGCACTCTGCAAATAGAAGTCCAAATAGATTCCTCCTTTTAGAGGAACTGAATTTTTAATATTCATTCTTTGTATCTGCACATGTTCAAGATATATCCGAGTATATGTATTTAAGTTCGTATTTGCTACAACACGTAAGTGTAGACAGAGACAGTATGTATACTACATTCATAAGGTATTTCAACACATATTCATAGACAAGCATGCAATATGCATGTTTTTAGACCTACACACCTGTTAACGTGATACAGTTACCATAAACATACTGACCTAAATCTGAAGTGATTGTCTATTAAAAAGGCAACAATTTAAAGAGATGATGTGGTATTCAAAATGATTTCCAATAAATGCTGACAAGAAATAAAAACTTTACCTCATCCAAAAAGGTGACAGTGGCTTGAACAACTTCCCCTTTTAAGTCAAAAATTCCAAAGCTGGCACGATGATTTGAAGAGAATCAGATCGAGAAACAGCTGCAGCACAGGAAAGACTCTATCACTTCCTGCCTCGCCCTCCCGTGTGGGGATGCTGCTCGCCGGGTGACAGCCCTATGTGGGAGAAATTCCAGTGGACTTGTCAGAAGTTTTTTGAAGTTTCTTGAAAGACAGGAAGACATTCTTACATATAAACAGTTCAGAAATAAATATCATACCAACTCCTCAAAACCCAGGTTGTATTTGAGTCACACATTTTATTTCTTAAAAACTATTGTACATATGAAGTAGATATAATTAGAAACAGTTTCATTATTGATTTTTCGATATGGAAACAGTCTTTCCAAAATACAACTTTACATTTTTTATTATGAAATATGCAAAACACTGAAACATCGGTAAAGAATGTGTTATTTTTCTGTGTCTGTCTTCATTAGGGTTTCTCTTTCTGTGATAAAACAAGACCAAAAGCAACTTAGGGAGGAAAGTGTCTATTTGGCTGACAGATACTGTCTCTGTAAGTTTGCATGTGCGTCAATCCTGTTGATCTAGAGTACTTTATTTTCATGGTGTCCTCCATTCCCTGTAACTCTTACATTCTTTCTGCTTCTCTTTCTGTGGGATTTCCTGATTTACTGAAGGTAGAACTGTTACAAGGAACCACTTGTTCATCCTGGCCTCCCAGAACCAAAATAAGCACACAGAAACTGTATTCATTAAATCACTGCTTGGCCAATTAGCTCTAACTTCTTATTGGCTAACTCTTACATCTTAATTTAAATCATTTCTATTAATCTGCGTATCACCACAAGGTCGTGGCCTACCAACCAAGTTTCAGCATGTCTATCTCTGGTGGTGGATCATGGCATCTCTGACTCTTCCCTTATTTCTTCCAGTATTCAGTTCAGTCTTCTCCGCCTACCTAAGTTCTGACCTTTCAACAGGCCAAGGCAGTTTCTTAATTCATTAATGATAATCACAGCACACAGAGGGGACTCCCACATCACAGAACACTGTTATAGATTCGAGTATTTGTAGCTGGTTTGGTGTTTATGTTTTTCCTTCGGTATAATGCAGTTTCCTGAACTGTACCAAGGCATGGGGGAGGGGAGGTGTTCTGCTTAGGTAGTAGCTCAAGTTTTCTATGTTCAACGAATTATAGATGTGTTGTCTTCAGCAATAAGACCTTTATGTCTTAGCAGCAGTCAGCATTGTTGGGGGATTACCCTTTTGCCAAAAACTCAATTAGAAATAACTCCTTCCTGGTACCAGAAAAGTACTGAAAGCTTTACTTGAAGACATGAGCTGTCCAACTGGGACTCTGTCCCAGGTGAGGTGGTGCATTGTTGTTGGTAGTGGTGATGGTATGTGTGTTTCCCCTCTTTTGATTTCTCTCTGGGATTATTTATTTCCTGTGTTTTATTGGTTAACTTCTTTAAAGGTGAGTTTTCTTTCACCTTCTGCATGGCTGGATTGGTAGACAGATATCACTTAATTTTGATTTTTATCATGGAATATCTTATTTTCTCCATCTATTGTGATTGAATGTTTTGTCTGGTATAGTAGTCTATGTTAGCATCTGTGGTCTCTTAGAGTCTGCATGGCATCTGTCCCAAATGTTATTCTATAGTGTTCTCTTTTCATATTTCTTGATCTTTTTCCCTTGCAGCACTGAATATTCCTTCTTCATTCTGTAAGTTTAGTTGTTTTGATTATTATGTGCTTTGGGGAATTTATTTTATCATTTAATCTATTTGGTGTGTTCTGTATGTTTCATGTTCATTTATAGGCATCTTTTTTATTTTAATGAATTTTTCTTCTATTATTTTGTTGAAAATATTTTCTGCACCTTTGTCCTGTGTTTCTTCTACTTCCTCTGTTCCTATTATATTCTTATATTTTCTTAGTGTCCCAGATTTCCTGGCTGTTTTGTACCAAGGACTTTTTAGATTTACTTGTTTCTTTGACTGAGGTATTTAATTTCCTCTCTTCTGACTTTGATGCAAGGGAGTCTACCTTATGCCTCTTGTATTCCTATTGGAAAGTTTGCCTCTGAGGTTCCCGTTCAAGTTCCTAATTCTTTTCAATTTTATATTTTCCTTAGTTTGTTTGGTTTTTTTTTTTTACTGATTCTATTTCCATTTTCAAACTGTGAACCCTTTCATTCATTTCCTTCCACTATTTACGTTTTCCAGGCTTTCTTGAAGGGATTTATTTACTTCATTTTAAGAACTGCTGTCAAAGTGGTTTTGATTTGCATTTCCCTGATCGCTAAGGAGGTTGAGCATGACCTTAAGTGTCTTCTGGCCTTTCGAAGTTCATCTGTTGTGAATTCTCTGTTCAGTTCAGTACCCCATTTTTTAATTGGGTTAATTAGAGTTTTAGTGCCTAGTTTCTTGAGTTCTTTGTATATTTTGGAGATCAGACCTTTGTCTGATGAGGGGTTGGTGAAGATCTTCTCCCAGTCAGAAGGCAGCCTTTTTGTCCTACTGACAGTGTCCTTTGCTTTACAGAAGCTTCTCAGTTTCAATAGATCCCATTTATTCATTGTTTCTCTTATTGTCTGTGCTGCTGGGGTCCTACTTAGGAAGAGGCCTCCTGTGCCTATATCTTGTAGACTACTTCCCACTTTCTCTTCTATCAGGTTCAAAGTGGACGGATTAATGTTGATGTCTTTAATCCATTTGGACTTGATTTTTGTGCATGGTGATAGAG